TAATGAAGCTGAAATTCGCACCCACTTGAGGGATTACTTCTCGCTAAATCAAACCCCGGAGACATCCCCATTAACCCAGTGGGAGGCCCACAAATGCGTTATCAGAGGACTTTTAATAGCCATGGCCACGAAACGTAAAAAAGAAAGACAGGCACGTCTGCAGTACCTTTTCGACCACATTAAGCTCCTGGAAAAGGCCCACAAACAGACCCAAGCCGCCTTTACCTTGTCAGATCTTACTGAAGCCCGCACAACACTTTTAAAAGATTAGGAGTTCAGATAGTTCCTTAGCCACTTCCAATACAGATATTGCCTCAAAAGTTGAACATTACTATAAGATGCAGTATAATCTCTCCTGAACGTCGCCCCCCTGAGATCGATGTGTCTAGAGATAGTCTGACTTCTGATTTTCTTCGCCTCCATGGTCCCCCCTCATTGTCGTAGGAGGATGTACAAGCTATGGAACATGATATCACGGCAGAGGAACTTTCCGAAGCTATCAAACAAATGAAACCGGGTAAAAGTCCGAGTCCTGATGTCTCTCGGTGACCTATTATAAGGAGTTTTTAGACCATTTGAGTGGACCCTTTATTTCATCTTTCAATTCCCTTTCTGCAGCCCTTACACAACGCCATCGCCTTCTGGAAGCGCACATCACGGTCATCCCTAAAGACTGTAAGGATGCTTCATCGGTCACCAATTACAGGCCAATCTCACTATTGAATATGGACATAAAAATTTTTGCAAAAATTTTAGCCAACCATCTTCTCCCATTGCTGTCTTCCCGGATTGATTTAGACCAAGTGGGCTTTATCCCGGGAAGGGAAACGAGGGACAACACCATCAAGGCACTCAATCTTCTCCATTACCTCCACTTGCTCTTCCTTGGCTAGCTCGATGGGAGACCAGTCTTTCCCTTTTTGGGCCTACCTTCAGTGTAGACATTTTTTTCTCTCTTCTACAAACCGTTCTAAATGGACTCGCCCGCTTACCTTATTCGAGTCAATCTGGTCTAAAACAGAACCACAGAGGCACCTAATAAATATCCTTTACCTATTTGCTCCTCCTTGCTGATAGGCCCTTTAACTCACTCCCAGCTTGTAAAGCGTGGAAAAGAGACTAAATATAGATTTCTCCCCCTCAGATTGGGAACAAATCTTCACGTATTCTCACAAATGCTCCCTGAATGTCTCAGCCCAGGAAAATGGCTTTAAATTGGTGTCCCACTGGTACAATACACCCTCTAGGATCCACCATTTTGACCCTTCTAAGTCTGGTAGTTGATGGAGATGTGGAGCTCCTGTTGGATCCCTTTTGCATATTTGGTGGGACTGCCCCACTGTTCAGCCCTTTTGGCGGGAGGTGCCAAGAATTACCCCTTCAGTATCTGCCATTGACATTGAATATTCCCCAGCCCAACTCCTCCTCCACCACACCCCACTCCCTAAACGTATCTATTCCAAATCCCTGGCAATGCACATGCTCACAGCGGCTAAACTTTGCCTGCCAGTGCTTTGGAGATTCACCCACTCACACTAAGAGATTGGTTCTTGCGCATTGAAAAAATCACGGAAATGGAAGAGTTGATTGCCTCATCTTTGGATAATCCCACCAAATTCTCTCACACTTGGTCCTGTTTGACACATTTCCGCACGACTCCTGAATACCGATCTCTCCTGGGTCTGGCTGATTGACTGATTTTGTATACCTCTCAGGTCCTGACATACCCTTAGGGTTTTGTTGGCTCTTTGTGCCCTGATAAGTGTGTTTGGGACCCCTGTTATTGCAGCCCCTCATTGCTGGGAGTGTGATTCATATTGTTTTATGGCCGCAAATGTTCTCATCGGGCCTCCTTTTAGGACTCCCTTCACATACATGCACATACTTTCCCCTGACAGTTTTCAGTGAAGGTTCCTTATCTGCCCTTTTACCCTCCCCCCTCTCCCTATCATTCCCTTTTACCTACCCCCCCCCCTCCCTCCCTCCCCCCTCCCCCCTTCCCCCTTTCTCCCCCTCCCTCCTTTGCTCCCCTTCCACCCCCCCTTTTTTTTCTCTTTTTCTTTTTTCTCTTTCTCCCTACTAATTCCCTACCCTACTCAGAGCCTTTTCCATTTTCCTCTTCATTATCTTCGGATACATTGCCCACCTGCTGGAACGCTTTCATCTATTTATTTCCCAGCCGTGTCGTCTCTTCTTCCCTTTGCTTATCACATGGACGCCGACTGCTACTTTTGGGTTACCTCAAAAACATAACATAAGGGGCTTTGCCTCTATACGCACTTTCCTGCGATCATCATACATACTGTCATTATGCTCCTCTCATACCTCTGCCCCTTCATCGGCCTCTGTAAGGTAACCGATGCTTCAGATCAGTACTTCTGCCAGTGTTGCGACTCCATCAGGCTGTTTGGGGAACTGAGACCTGTTGTGTCTTCCTTCACCTCTTATTATTTATAATGCTCTGATAATGTTCCATAATACGCTAATTGTTGCATATACTTTGTCATCCATTGTATGCATTTCTGCTCTCATGTGATGCTTGTACCCGCTGTATGCTCTGAGTTCTTCAATAAATATTATAGAAAAAAAAACCTATATACACACGTGATTTGCATTTCCAGGTAGGGGGGACGCGCGCTTCCCTACCCACACCGCCATTGGTAGCTACAGATGTCAATCACTGGGTCCCGGCCGGAGATTCCCTGCCAGCACCTGGCGATCGCTGAGTAACACTGACAGGGGAGAGACCTATGTATGTATAACACAGGTATCTGTCCTGCCAGCAATAACATGCTGCTGTGTATTTCTCTGCAAAGCAGAGAAATACAGAGCAGCATGTTTTCCTAGTAAAACATGCACAGCACACATAGTAAAACAGCACACAGTTAACCCTTTGATCACTCCAGACGTTAACCCCTTCCTGCCCAGTGCCATTAGTACAGTGTCAGTGCTTTTTATTAGCACTGATCATTGTATTAGTGTCATTGAGATGTCAGTGGCAGTTAGTCAGTTCCCACCCAGTGTCAGAATCCCCTCCGCAGTCCTGCTATAAGTCGCTGATCGCCGCCATTACTAGTATTAAAAAAAAAAAATCATATATATATATATATATACTATATATATATACCGCCAACATTTGTAGATGCTATAACTTTCACGTAAACCAATTAATTTACATGTATTGGGTTTTTTTTAGCAAAGACATTTAGCAGAATACATTTGGGCCTAAATTTATGATGAAATTTGATTTGTTACATTTTTTTACTGGATATGTTTTATAGCAAACAGTTAAAATATTGTTTTTTTTTTCAAAATTGGCAGTCTTTTTTTGTTTATAGCGAAAAAAATTAAAAACACAGAGGTGATCAAATACTACTAAAAGAAAGCTCTGTAGGAAAAAAGGACATACATTTAATTTATGTACAACATTGCATGATCACGCAATTGTCAGTTAAAGTACCATATCGCAAAAAATGGCCTGGGCAGGAAGGGGGGTAAATCCTCTGGAAGGCAAGTGGGGGTAAAAGAAAAACTCCACTCTTCCTGATGGCTCAAAGGATCTAATCTAATATGCATTTTGAGTGGGGCCTTAAACCAAACATTTTATTTCATCATTTTTTTTTTTTAAGAGTCCGGCAGTGAAATGTCATTTGCCAGCAATTTTAAACACTTTTTTCCTTTGTAAATGTCAAAAATACCCTAAAGCAGAAAAAATGGTAATTCAACATTTATTCAGTTTATACCATTTATTACAATAGTGCTGCAATACCAACATTTCTACTTCTCATGATACATATTGGTAAGCAACACTGAGCATTGGCTGCGTTTCATTGCTGAAAACACTGCAGGTTTTTTTGTGCATTGAAGAGTGCTTTTAGCCTAATCAAATTTAATGGACTGCCATAATGCATCATGCCTCAACACATGAAAACACTATGTGCAATAGCACAAGCACAAGTGTAAAGGCACCCCAAGAGAACAGGGCAAGGTTAGAATCTTTATTGAGTTTTGTTGCTGTCTCCATTCTTATTTATGAGATTCCCCTCACTTCCTATAGTGACTGTGATGGCTTACTATGCTGGACATCTGACATGGATCAAGAGTCAAAGACATATGTTAAATGTTGATGTTGAATCCATTTGACCACAGAAAACTGCAGAAGAGTGATAACAAGTAGAGATGAGCGAAGTATTCAAAAATTCGATTCGACTGATTCGGCGAATTCATGGAAAAATTTTGATTCGAGTCGAATATATTCGCTGCGAATTTAACTTATAAAAGGGTGTTTCTAGGCTTCAGAGAGCCTTTATATTAGTGCAGAACACTGTACCTTTAATTTAAATGCCCTTGGAGTCTGCTGGGGAAGAGAAATAATACTGACAGTCAGTATGACATGCAGATGAGTGCCGTCGATCTTAGAATCACCGCACACTTCACTCATTTGGGCAGTCACGGGGCCAAAACCAGAGTGTGGAGCCACAGTGTGGCGGTGGAGGCAGCAGCAATGGGAGGCCATACAGCACCCTATGACAAAAATGGAAACCACCAGCAGTGTGAGGAGACCTGAAAGTGGCACATGGCAGAGTGTGGCGATGGAGACAGCAGCAATGGGAGGCCGTACAGGGACCCATGACACACTCTGGACCTGGCAGCAGCATGAGGAGGCGGTACAGGGGCCCATGACAGATTACGGGCCTGGCAGCAGCATGAGGAGTTGGTACGGGGGCCCATGGCAGATTAGGGGCCTGGCAGCAGCTATGGGAGGCCCGTAATCTGCCAGCACCCTATGACAAAAAATGGAACACACCAGCAGTGTGAGGAGACCTGAAAGTGGCACATGGCAGAGTGTGGCGATGGAGACAGCAGCAATGGGAGGCCGTACAGGGACCCATGAGAGACTCTGGACCTGGCAGCAGCATGAGGAGGCGGTATAGGGGCCCATGGCAGATTAGGGGCCTGGCAGCAGCTATGGGAGGCCCGTAATCTGCCAGCACCCTATGACAAAAAATGGAACACACCAGCATGTGAGGAGACCTGAAAGTGGCACATGGCAGAGTGTGGCGATGGAGACAGCAGCAATGGGAGGCCGTACAGGGACCCATGAGAGACTCTGGACTTGGCAGCAGCATGAGGAGGCGGTATAGGGGCCCATGGCAGATTAGGGGCCTGGCAGCAGCTATGGGAGGCCCGTAATCTGCCAGCACCCTATGACAAAAAATGGAACACACCAGCAGTGTGAGGAGACCTGAAAGTGGCACATGTTTGGGGCATGATTCATGGCGGATTTAGTCAGTTGTGTCAGGAACTGGTGGTTTGAAATCCAGACTAATCCACGCCTGATTCATTTTCACAAACGTGAGTCTCTCCACACTTTGGGTGGACAGTCGTGTCCTCCGCGGAGTTGCAATACCTCCTGCCGCACTAAACACGCGCTCCGATGCCACGCTACTGGCCGGGCATGACAGCCTTTCAAGGGCAAATTCAGCTAGTTGGGGCCAAAGGTCAAGTTTCGTTGCCCAGTAGTCAAGGGGATTGTCTACCTCGGTTGGCAGGGTGCTGTCCAAGTAGGCCTAAGCCTGTTGTTTGAGGTCCTGCTCCAGGTCCACCTGATGCTGCTGCTGCTGCTGCTGCGGCTGGTTAGTAGTTTCCTCACTGCGCTGGTGAAGAAAGCTACTCATCATCGACTGCAGACTGAGGCAGCTGCTGCTGGTGGAGCTGCCACTGCTCCTACCACCCCACCCCTCCCCTGCTGCCATGGCAGCGGAACGCGAGCGCACAGGGCCCACAGTGTCTGAGGATGGACGTTGGCGCAGACAGGCAGAGACCAGCTGACTACATAGGTGGTTTTTTTTATAGTACGTTATTTTGGCCTCCCTCTCAGCAGGTGTGAAAAAGGCCACCATTTTTGAACGGTAGCGAGGGTCCAACAAGGTGGACAGCCAAAAGTCATCCCTCTGTCTGATGGTTATTATTCGGCTGTCGGTACGCAAGCAAGCGAGCATGCTATGGGCCATTTGTGCCAAGGAATGCGAGGGACTCCCTGCCTCCATCTCCACAGCATACTGCCACGGTGCGTCTGGGTCCTCTGTCTCCTCTTCCTCCTCCTCTACCAGATGCTCCTGCTCCTCCACTCCTGTCCGCTGAGTGGAAAAACCACCCATTTCACTCAATAATTCCTGAGCACCAATGTCCTCCTCTACCTCCTCCTCTTCTTCCTGTCCTGCCCCCACAGGGGTCATGTGGCGTTGAGATCTGTGCGCCACGTCTACCGCACCCTGACCAGCCATTGTTAACAGCATTTGTTCCAGGACGTGCAACAGAGGAATGACGTCGTTCATCCCATAGTCCTGCCGACTCACGAATAGCGTGGCCTCCTCAAAGGGCCTGAGCAAGCGCAGGTGTCACGCATGAGCTGCCAATGGCTGACATCTAAGTTACACAGGGAGTACCTTTATCCGCTTTTAACATCAGGAAATCTGTGATGGCCTTTTGCTGTTCGTAAAGGCGGTCTAACATATGTAGGGTTGAATTCCACCTTGTTGCAACGTCCAGCATGAGGAGTCGGTACGGGGGCCCATGGCAGATTACGGGCCTGGCAGCAGCAATGGGAGGCCCGTAATCTGCCAGCACCCTATGACAAAAAATGTAACACACCAGCAGTGTGAGGAGATCTGAAAGTGGCACATGGCAGAGTGTGGCGATGGAGACAGCAGCAATGGGAGGCCGTACAGGGACCCATGAGAGACTCTGGACCTGGCAGCAGCATGAGGAGGCGGGTATAGGGGCCCATGGCAGATTAGGGGCCTGGCAGCAGCTATGGGAGGCCCGTAAATCAGCACCCTATGTCAAAAAATGGAACACACCAGCAGTGTGTGAGGAGACCTGAAAGTGGCACATGCAGAGTGTGGCGATGGAGACAGCAGCAATGGGAGGCCGTACAGGGACCCATGAGACAGACTCTGGACTTGGCAGCAGCATGAGGAGAGGCGGTATAGGGGCCCATGGCAGATTAGGGGCCTGGCAGCAGCTATGGGAGGCCCGTAATCTGCCAGCACCCTATGTCAAAAAATTGAACACACCAGCAGTGTGAGGAGACCTGAAAGTGGCATGGCAGAGTGTGGCGATGGAGACAGCAGCAATGGGAGGCCGTACAGGGACCCATGAGAGACTCTGGACTTGGCAGCAGCATGAGGAGGCGGTATAGGGGCCCATGGCAGATTAGGGGCCTGGCAGCAGCTATGGGAGGCCCGTAATCTGCCAGCACCCTATGTCAAAAAATTGAACACACCAGCAGTGTGTGAGGAGACCTGAAAGTGGCACATGGCAGAGTGTGGCGATGGAGACAGCAGCAATGGGAGGCCGTACAGGGACCCATGACAGACTCTGGACTTGGCAGCAGCATGAGGAGGCGGTATAGGGGCCCATGGCAGATTAGGGGCCTGGCAGCAGCTATGGGAGGCCCGTAATCTGCCAGCACCCTATGTCAAAAAATTGAACACACCAGCAGTGTGAGGAGACCTGAAAGTGGCACATGGCAGAGTGTGGCGATGGAGACAGCAGCAATGGGAGGCCGTACAGGGACCCATGAGAGACTCTGGACTTGGCAGCAGCATGAGGAGGCGGTACAGGGGCCCATGGCAGATTAGGGGCCTGGCAGCAGCTATGGGGCCCGTAATCTGCCAGCACCCTATGTCAAAAAATTGAACACACCAGCAGTGTGTGAGGAGACCTGAAAGTGGCACATGGCAGAGTGTGGCGATGGAGACAGCAGCAATGGGAGGCCGTACAGGGACCCATGAGAGACTCTGGACTTGGCAGCAGCATGATGAGGAGGCGGTATAGGGGCCCATGGCAGATTAGGGGCCTGGCAGCAGCTATGGGAGGCCCGTAATCTGCCAGCACCCTATGTCAAAAAATTGAAACACACCAGCAGTGTGTGAGGAGACCTGAAAGTGGCACATGGAGTGTGGCGATGGAGACAGCAGCTGTGGAGGCCCTACAGGGACCCATGAGAGACTCTGGACTGGCAGCAGCATGAGGAGGCGGTATAGGGGCCCATGGCAGATTAGGGGCCTGGCAGCAGCTATGGGAGGCCCGTAATCTGCCAGCACCCTATGTCAAAAAATTGAACACACCAGCAGTGTGTGAGGAGACCTGAAAGTGGCACATGGCAGAGTGTGGCGATGGATGGAGAAGCAGCAATGGGAGGCCGTACAGGGACCCATGAGAGACTCTGGACTTGGCAGCAGCATGAGGAGGCGGTATAGGGGCCCATGGCAGATTAGGGGCCTGGCAGCAGCTATGGGAGGCCCGTAATCTGCCAGCACCCTATGTCAAAAAATTGAACACACCAGCAGTGTGAGGAGACCTGAAAGTGGCACATGGCAGAGTGTGGCGACCTGAGACAGCAGCAATGAGGCCGGAGGGACCCATGGCGGTACAGGGGCCCATGGCAGTATATAGGGGCCCATGGCAGATTAGGGGCCCTGGCAGCAGCTATGGGAGGCCCGTAATCTGCCAGCACCCTATGTCAAAAAATTGAACACACCAGCAGTGTGTGAGGAGACCTGAAAGTGGCACATGGCAGAGTGTGGCGATGGAGACAGCAGCAGCAATGGGAGGCCGTACAGGGACCCATGAGAGACTCTGGACTTGGCAGCAGCATGAGGAGGCGGTATAGGGGCCCATGGCAGATTAGGGGCCTGGCAGCAGCTATGGGAGGCCCGTAATCTGCCAGCACCCTATGTCAAAAAATTGAACACACCAGCAGTGTGAGGAGACCTGAAAGTGGCACATGGCATGAGAGACTGTGGACCTGGCAGCAGCATGAGGAGGCGGTATATAGGGGCCCATGGCAGATTAGGGGCCTGGCAGCAGCTATGGGAGGCCCGTAATCTGCCAGCACCCTATGTCAAAAAATTGAACACACCAGCAGTGTGTGAGGAGACCTGAAAGTGGCACATGGCAGAGTGTGGCGATGGAGACAGCAGCAATGGGAGGCCGTACAGGGACCCATGAGAGACTCTGGACCTGGCAGCAGCATGAGGAGGGTGGTATAGGGGCCCATGGCAGATTAGGGGCCTGGCAGCAGCTATGGGAGGCCCGTAATCTGCCAGCACCCTATGTCAAAAAATTGAACACACCAGCAGTGTGTGAGGAGACCTGAAAGTGGCACATGTACAGGGACCCATGAGAGACTCTGGACCTGGCAGCAGCATGAGGAGGCGGTATAGGGGCCCATGGCAGATTAGGGGCCTGGCAGCAGCTATGGGAGGCCCGTAATCTGCCAGCACCCTATGTCAAAAAATTGAACACACCAGCAGTGTGAGGAGACCTGAAAGTGGCACATGGCATGGAGACAGCACACTGTGGACCCTGGCAGCTGGACCTTGGCAGCAGCATGAGGAGGCGGTATAGGGGCCCATGGCAGATTAGGGGCCTGGCAGCAGCTATGGGAGGCCCGTAATCTGCCAGCACCCTATGTCAAAAAATTGAACACACCAGCAGTGTGTGAGGAGACCTGAAAGTGGCACATGGCAGAGTGTGGCGATGGAGACAGCAGCAATGGGAGGCCGTACAGGGACCCATGACAAAAAAATTGAACACACCAGCAGTGTGAGGAGACCTGAAAGTGGCACATGGCATGAGACACTGTGGACCTGGCAGCAGCAGCATGAGGAGGCGGTACATAGCGGGGCCCATGGCAGATTAGGGGGCCTGGCAGCAGCTATGGGAGGCCCGTAATCTGCCAGCACCCTATGTCAAAAAATTGAACACACCAGCAGTGTGTGAGGAGACCTGAAAGTGGCACATGGCAGAGTGTGGCGATGGAGACAGCAGCAATGGGACGCCGTACAGGGACCCATGAGAGAGCGTCCCTGGAAGCCACCTGCGCCTTGCCGATCGTCACGTCCACTTTACAAGACCGTCATGGCGGAGTGCCCGGAAACTGCCCCTAATTCTTAACCTTTTTGTCCTGAACTAACTGCCATCCATTGGTTGTGTCCAGTTAGTTAGCCTTGCCTCTGAAATTGACCCCGCCATTTTGTGACCCCCGGGATTATCTTTGCCCTGGACTTTCACCCGCCCTATTGTGTGCCCAGACACTTGTACCACTTGTTTGACCCCCCCGGAGTCTCCAAGTGTCCCAACCTCCTGTCATTAAAAACCTGGTGGGTGTGTCTACTAGCTGGCCGTGTGCATATCTGGCCCTCCCCCCCGCCCCAAATCACACACACATCACGACACACACACCACAAACACACACAATGTGCAAGCACAAATAAGTGCATGGGAATCTGCTTATTGATAATTGATATACTGTAAAATGAATGCAGAAAACTAAAGTAAAAAAACCTGGGACCAGGTATTCGGAGCCCTTATTCATTCAGTTTCATTCCATTTAACATCTGTCCATTTTTCATATGAACATCAGACAGCAATTAATTCACAGTGGGGACAAACTGATGATCTAGTTACAATTTGGCCAACATCCTTGGCCATTCTCAGGGTCCAATTTTTGTAGAACGCAACAAGTTTTTCAAATTCAGTCCTTTTTTTTTGTCCCCATTTTTGACACATATTGTAATGGATGTTACAACAGATGTCATCCATTTACAGCTATTTATTGGCAAGATATATTTTTTTTCTGCTTCTGTCACTATGTTATTGGGATTTCTGCAAACTGAATGAAACTGAAGAACAAACTGAAGTAACTAATGTAATCTGAAATGAAGATGCATGTACAAATTGATTGAACTGATGTAACCTAAATT